GAAAACCAGATAAAGGTAAAATCCAATGGATGAGTTTAGCAGCAGATTACTGTGCAGGTAAAGCGCAAATTAGGGAAGCGGATGATAAACTGGAAGAAAATACCCACACTGAAGAAAAGAAAAGGGAAACACAGACACAAAAATAACTTAAGAAACTTAGGGGATACTGAAAGCTAATCCAACACAGGTATATAACTACAGTCCCAGATAGATTAAATGGAGAGACTGGGGCAAAGTCATTACTTGTTGTGGTGAAGTTTGAGAATAATCAGGTCTAAGAATTCACAACTGTATAAAACAACAGATTTAGGAACTACAAATCCCAAATAGAAGAAATTAAAATGAAAAAAACTACAGTTAGGCACATTAAAAAAGAACTTCAAAAAAATCAAAGACAAAATCTTAAAAATAGCCTGGGAAAAAAGAGTATTTCCAAAGAAGGAACAATAGGATGGATAGCTGATTTCTGGAGATTAACAATAGATGGCAGAAGAGAATGGAATGGCATTCTCAAAGTGCTGAAAGAAAATAAATACAAACCTAGAATTCTATACTCAGCAAAAATAACCTTCAAAGATTAACCTGAAATCACATTTTGAACAGAAAGAAAATTCATCGCCATCAGATCTGCATTAAGGTAAATAAAGAATATCACAGATGAAAGGTCAGACATGAAGAAATGAATAAAAGTGGAAAGGATAAATTTATGAGTAAATTTTGACTATTATAAAATAACAACAACAATGTCTTGTGATGTTAAAGGTAAGTTGAGAGTTAAATACAGGTTAAAATAGTATATAAGTTAAGAGTGAAAGTATTCCAGACCCTCACTTTGTCAGAATTGGCAAAAGTATTAATTTAGATAAAGTTGTCAATAATCAGTAAAGAAACAGCAAAATAGTGACTACCAAGCTGGTGGAAAAAAATATATATATATATACACACACACATATATATCACTAAAAACATACATTAAAACCAAGAAAAGCAAATTAGAATAGTTGAGATAATTAGAATTCATATTGTACAATGATAGATTTAAGCATAAATGCATCAATAATAACATTAAATGTAAATGGGCCAAACTAATTGAAAGACAAAGACTGTCAAACTACAAATCAAAACTTTGTATGCAGTTTTGCAGATAAAGTTGGATTTAGATAAAGGGATGCAGATAAAGTTGCATTTAGAGGAAAATGTATAGCTATATAAGCACACATTAGAAGAGAGGGCTGAAATCAATGCTCTATGTATCTACATCAAAAAGCTACAAAAGCCACAATACAACCTAAGAAAATAGAACATAGAAAAATAATAAAAATAGTAGAAATTAATCAAATTGATATTCAACAAACAATATCCATAAAGTCAAAAGCCAGTCTTTGAAAAGAATAACTGATAAACTTCTGGAGAGAATGACCAAGGAAAACAAAAGCAAAACAAAACAGCAGCAATAAAGAGAAAAAGCACAAACCACCAATATCTGGAGTGTAACAGAGGACATCACTAAAGGTCTGACAGACGTCAAAAACACCAGAAAAGGATATGACACCAAACACCACTAAGCCAAAAATTCAAAAATGTATAACAAAGGCATATATTTCTTTAAAAAAAAAATACAACTTAGCTAAAGTGATCCAGGGGGAAAAATGTCCCATTAACTATTTTAAAAATTGAATAAGTAATCAAAAACCTTTGCACAAAGAAAACCTTAGGGTTAGATGGCTTTAACAGTAAGTTTCACAAGATATTTAAGGAAAAAAATAATATCCACGTTAAATAAACTTTGCCAGAGAATACAAAAGGAGAGAGGAATGATGCTTAACTCATTCTGAGGCCAGCATAGTCATGACACCAAAACGTGACAAGGGCATTATGAGAAAGGAAACTGCTTGGCAATCTCCCTCATGAACACAGTTGCAATCATACAAAATAAAATATTAGCAAATCCAAGTTTTCACTACATAGAAGATAATGTATTACAATCAAGTTGACTGGGGTCATTTTAAAAACGCCAGTTAGAATTTATATTCAGATAAATCCATATGCTTTACTTCATTAACCAAGTAAAGCCAAAAAATCATACAAACATCTCAAAAGATGCTGAAACAGCACCTGATAAAAATCAATATCCATTCGTACTGAAACCCTGAGCAAACAAGGAATGGAAAGGAAACTTCCATAATCTGATAAATAGCACCTATCAAAAACAAGTAGACAAATGAGTAAACAATACAAACAAAGCCCCCACAGAAAACATGGCACTTAACAGGAAACTGGGAACCAGACAAGTGTGCCTGCCTCGTATCATGACCACAATTCAATACTCTACTGGCAATCTCAGTCCATTCTACACAATAAGCAAGTAAAATATACAAAAGGTATTCCAATCAGAAAGGAGGCAATCTTGTCATTATTTATAGATGACAGGATTCTAAATGTTGAAAATTCAAAACAATCTATTAATGATTAGGATATTTGAATTTAACAGGGTTGCTGGACACAAAGTCAACAGTCAAAAACTGACTGCTTTTCAAAATTATAAAAACCAAGCCATTCACAATAGCAACCAAAGCCATCAAATGGCTTGAAATATATTTAATCAAAATACATGCACGCCTCCTTAACATAGAACTATTAAGAAAATATTAAGAAAAATTAAAGAAGGTAAATAATCAATGTTGTAAAAATATCAAGTCTTCCTAATTTGAACCACAGAGTCAATGCAGCCACAAACAAAACCCCACTGGTATCAATTCCAGGTAGAATCAGCTCCTAAGAGATAATTAAAGAGGATGTACCCAAGATTTTGAAGAAGGGAAAGATTTCTCGAGGCACAAAATCATCTAAAGGAAAAGACTGAAACTGTATTAGAAGGGAGAATTTCTGTGCCTGAAAGATAACATTAAGAGAGTGAACAGGCAAAGTGCAGAGCGGAAGAGGAGATTTACAGCATGTACAACTCGCCAAAGGCTTGATTCCATAATATAGAAAGAACAACTCCAAATCAAGAAAAAGGGAGACTCCCCCATCAGAAAAATGGGCAAGAGACTTGAACAAGCACTTCACAAAGAGAGGAATATTCATTTGGCCAAAAAACTTATGAAAATAAACTTTATCTTATTGGTAATCAAAGAAATGCAGCTGAGGGCATGAGGAGGAGCTGAAATTAAAGTGACTGACAGCAGCAAGTGTTGACAAGGACATGGAGCCACAGGAACCCCTGTACGTGGCTGGTAGGAGTGTAAAGTGGTACACCACTTTGAAAACTTTTAGGCATCACATATGAATACTGACAACATGCATGCCCCAACGTTCAACAACTCCACTTCACATTTGGCCATATGTACCAAGAAACATGTCCAAGAATGCACACAGCAGCATTGCTTTTAATAGCTCTGGTTAGGAAACAAGCCAAGTATCTAACGACTTTAGAAGAAATGACTACATTGGTGCATTTATAAATGGGACACCACACAGCAATATATAATAGATAATGAATGACCTCTTGCTGAATGCAAAATGGGGATGAATTTCACAAGCATAATGTCCAGAGAAAGAAGCAAAACACAAAAATCCTACATATTAAGGGTTCCATTTACATACATTTCAAAAGCAGGCAAATTAATCTTCCACGTTAAATGTCAGGAGAGGAGTTATCTTTGGGGAAGGGGGAAGTGCATAAAGCCTTCTCTTCCCACTTATGGGCCAGCCCTACAAGAGTAAATCGCTCTACTCTCCTTACCTGGAATTCTGTTACCTGAAGAAAATGTACACCTCAGCTCATTTTCAGTATTACCAGGAACAGACAAGTTCAACTAAGCACGGAAGTCCAGGGCAGAAACTCCGAGTGTCTATGAAAGCCCCTCACTCTGGTGATTAGATCCTGACTGTCTGTGTCACTTAAAACAACAAGTTGTCCATAGAAGGGATACAAACACACAGTGAGCCAAGGGCTCTTTTAAGCGAAGATCTGAGAGGATGCTCAGAGCAGACTCAGCTCCACGGTGGACTCTGCACCCCGGGGACACGCCAGGGCTCAGACACGCTGGTGACACTGGGCACTGTCCTCGTGCAGAGGAGCCCACGGGTCCTTGGCCCAGCAGCCTGCAGTCAGCAGGGGCGACACCGTGACCTTTTCCTCAGTAGATGTGTCCCTCTCATTTTCCAAAGCGGGAAACAGCAAATAGAATGTTCTCCTGGAGAGTATCAAGTATGGGCTCTCCTTAGAAGAAAACAGACCACGCTGGTCTCCAGATGTACAAACACAGTCCCCACAGAAGGCAAAATTCAGAGTGGAAGGAGTAGATGGGAAAAGCACGCTGCTGGCCCTCACTGGGTCACTCTACAACCTAGCACCTGTCCCTCACTGGGCTGTGAGTTGCTCTACAACCTAACACCTGCTTTTAAGGCACTTACAAAATGCTCCCGAAAGAAAAGTACTTTGAAAAATGCAGGGCAGAACTCACAGATGAAATTCACTGTGCATCTGGCATGCTTTATGGCTTTTAATATTTTTAAGTCTATTAGGAATCCTGCCAAATAGTCTTTAAAATGTTTAAATCAAACCAAAAGTCAGGCTGAATGCCCCTTGCTTTGATGTTAATATTGAATCCTGCAGCCCTGGATGAAGATAAATCCCTGGACTCTGGTTCACCGGGGGAGCTAACCAAGGGTGGGCTGACACACACGCTACACTCACTGTCCCTGTCAGGGGGTGGGAGTCCCATTCCTGGCCTGCTTCTTAGAAACCCAGCACAGACGAAGTGGCAAGAGTCACCACAGTGAGGCTCAGCTGCCCCTAGATCTTTCCCTACTCCCCATGTGCTGCCCCAGCACCCTCCTACACTCCCTCCCTCTGCCCCCCACCTTCCGGAGTTCATGCCCCCACTCCCTCCCTCTGCCCAGCCTTCCGCGCCCGCACGCCCTCTCTCTGCCCAGCCTTCTGCACCCGCACTCAGCCTCCCTCCCTCTGCCCAGCCTTCCGTGCCCGCACTCACTCTCTTTGCCCTTCTCCTTGTTCTTGAGCTGCTGCAGCTTCTGCTCCCGGTGCTGCTTCTCCAGCTCCTGCTCCTGGCGGTGCCTCTCCAGCTTCCGCTGGTGTTCCAGCAGCTCCTGCTGGTGCTTCATGGCCAGCATCTCCTGCTGTTGCTGCAAGCAGAAGGAGCAGACAGATGGTCAGAGCCCAGGCTCCACACACAGAGACCCGATGAAGACCCAAGAAACCAGCCCAGGCCCCATGTGTCTGCCCTGGTGTGGCCCTGGGCACGGCCCTGCCCTGCACTGCTGCTATTTCAGTCCAAAAAAGAAGTCAGGGCCATTCCAGGCTCTGGGCATTGTCTTACCTTTTAAGTGGAAAATATTAAAAGCAAAAGCCATTGGCTTGCTAGAAGAAAATATGCAAGAAGAGTTATGTTATCTTGCAAGTTGGAAATGCTATTTTGAGAACAACTTAAAGACAGTGAAGAGAGCGTGAAATGGTACAACCACATCAGAAAACTGCTGGGCACTTTCTTATAAAGTTAAACACACATCTGCCCTGAGACCCAGCAATCCCATTGAAGGGCGTGAAATGGTACAGCCACTTCAGAAAACTGCTGGGCACTTTCTTACTCAAGTTAAACACATCTGCCCCTGAGACCCAGCAATCCATTCTAGCTATTTATCGAAACAGGAAGCACACCCACAGAAAGCCTGTACAAGAATGTGCATGGGATTTTTAGTCTTACACCAATGCCGATGCAACCCACACATTCCTCAAAAGGTGGACATGGACAAATGGCGATACGTATTCACTAAAGAGAACACCACCTATCACCAAAAAGAATAACCCTACGTGTACACAAGAAAACACAGGTGAACTGCTAAAGAGCAGGTGTTGGCACTTATAAAGTTAAACACACATCTGCCCTGAGACCCAGCAATCCCATTCCTAGCTATTTATCCGAAACACGGAAGCACACCCACAGAAAGCCTGTACAAGAATGTGCATGGGATTTTTGGTCACACACCAGCCTTGATGCAACCCACACATTCCCTCAAAGGTGGACACTTGGACAAATGATACGTATTCACTAAAGAGAACACCACCTATCCATAAAAAAGAATAACCTACGTGTACACAAGAAAACACAGGTGAACTGCTAAAGAGCAGGTGTTGGCAGAGGGTGAAAGAGCAAAGAGGCGAGACTGGAAGACCCTCCACCGGGCCTCTGCACTCGCAGCTCCAGTTCTGCACATTCCACCATGGCCTGGCGTGGAAATACGGGTGGTTGGCCCTCAGTGTCTCCAGGCTCTGATCCTCCGTGGGCTCAATGAGTAGAGGTGAAACCCAAAAATATGGAGGGCTGACTATATTCACATGAAGTTCTAAAACAGAAAAAACGCACAAGGATAAACACATCAGAAGAAGGCTGGCTCTGAGGAGGTGAGGGAGGGCGGCGGGGGCCGAGGCCGGAGGAGACGCCCCAGTGGATGGAGTGTCCGACCTGTCGAGTGTCCACAGGGGAGGGCACAGTCACCCAACAGCACCCTTAAGGGCTGGCATTCTGCTGAGTATAAATTATATTTCATATTTCAAAAACTGACATAGACATAAAAATGTTTGTCTTAATAACAAAGGGTAGAAGGTAAAATAAAAACTGCAGTATTTATGACATACAGATAAATTTTACATAAATGGTTGTTATACATTAATGAGAATATGACAGGCAGCCCACTGAAAAGTTGGGCAAAAAAGAACAGGAGATGCACAGAACTGTTTAAAGATAAATGGGGACAAATGTTCAAGATCGCTAGTGAACATTTCCCATGTCACTCACGGTATTAGAAAAGGTGAAAAGGAACAATTTGGCCTGGCGCTGGTGAGCGTGGGAAGGTGCAACTGATCAGACGCCCTGAGAGGGGCTCCTGCAACCCCAGGGTACCTCTGTCCTGGGACCCAGCCCACGCTCCGGGGCTCCCGCACATCCTCCCGCTCCTCCAAGACAGTTCTGCTCTTGTTCGCACACTCCAGGGTTCTGTCTGCACACAGTTTCCTCAGTTTCCACACAAGCCCCTAGGCCAGCCCAGGGGAAGTGCCAGGCCTCCACAGGTGTGAGGAGCTCTGCCAACTGCCTGCCGGGGAGAGCCTCTCCGCTACCCTCTGTGGCCTGCACGTGTCTCCCTCATGGTCTGTCTGCTGTCCCCAGTACTTGCTCAGTTACCAGTTGTCTCTTGTCCCATTGTCTTTTTTTATTTTAGACACAGGGTCTCGCTCTGTTGCCCAGGCTGGAGTGCAGTGGCACAATCACAGCTCACTGTAATGTTGACCTCTTGGGCTCAAGTGATCCTCCTACCTCAGACTCCCAAATAGATGGCAGTTAATTAAAAAAAAAAAATTGTAGCAAATGGGTCCTACTATGTTGCCCAGGCTGGTCTCGAACTCCTGGGCTCAAGCCATTCTCCCACCTCAGCCTCCTGAGTAGCTGGGCCTACAGGTGCACACCACCGCACCCAGACACGTATTTTTCTTTTTTGACGAAACAAGGTATTGCTCTGTTGCGGGGACTGGTCTCAAACTCCTGGGCTCAAGTGATCCTCCCACCTTAGCTTCCCGAAGCTCTGGGATGAGGGGCGTGAGCTGCCTCACCCGGCCACTGTTGGGATGCTTTTTGTTGGTCTTGCTCCGCTTATGGAGGGAGAGGGGATGGTGAGAGGGTTCGGGCTGAGCAGGCATCCTGGCAACCAGAGTGGCCCAAGGAACTTTCTGTGGAGGAAACTTAGTGAATCAGGGGCTCTGGGCTGGCTCCAGAGTGGGGCTTCTACCAGCTGGTGGTTCTGCCTGGAGGATAAGGCTCAGGCCAGGGAAAGGATGAGCAAGGCATAGAGTGGGGTGTGTGTCGAGGCAGCCACTGGACGCCTGTGCTCCATGAGTGACCATGCTGGCACAGCAGGACTGGCGCCCACGGGATGCCACCCGTGCCACACTGCCGTCCCTGTGTATTCTTCAATCCCTCTATGGCCGTGGATGGGTGGCAGTCCTTGGCCTGTTAGGAAGTGGGCCACAAAGCAGGAGGTAAGCGGCAGCCTAGGGAGCATTCCCACCGGAGCTCGAGCTCCTGCGGGATCAGCGGCGGCATCAGATTCTCACAGGAGTGTGACCCTGTTGTGAACTGTGTGTGGGGGGGATCCAGGATGCACACTCCTTATGAGACTCTAAAGCCTGATGATCTGAGGTGGTGGAAGTTTCATCCCAAAACCATCCTCTTGCACCCCCCACCCCTGTCCATGGAAAAAACCGCCTTCCATGAAACCAGAGTCCTGGTGCCAAAAAGGTCGGGGCCGACTGCTGCCCTACAACAGATGTACATCACTTCAGAGCAAGAGGTGATAACAAAAGAAAATGACAGTGGCTGAGGGGTGGGAAAGCAGGTGAAAAGGATTACAAAGACGGGCAGAGGCAACCCTGACAGAGTTGGGCCAGCAGGGGCGGGGGCCTGGGTCCCTGAGACGCCACAGCCTGAGAACCCACCACGAGTGTGCTCAGGGTGGGAGGCGGGAGGCGGCACGAGCCTTCAGCTACAGGGCCTTGCACGGAGAGACATGCACATCAACGTGCTTGTGCACACAAGTGTGTGTTCTGAATGTGAGTGTGCGTGCATGGGAGTGAGCACGTGTGCTCCAGGTGCCTGTGAGTGTGCAAGGACACCGCCCTTCTCTGTGGGCGGTGAACCTCAGTGGCATCGGCAAGGTGATGGGGGCGGGCAGTGTGTGTCCGGGAACATCTCTGGCATCTTGCTGGGTCCTTCTTCACATGAGAGGCCGGAGCGGACTGGCGAGCTCCACACCCTTGCTGCCCCTGCAGACCCAGCTCCCAGGTGGCTACCACACCCTGTCCTGCGAGAGCCTGGAGGTCCAGCTCAGCCCCCAGGCACCCGGCACACACACCTTTCAGACCCCTAGGCTTCTGGGAAGATCCAGGCTGCAAAAACAGCCTGGCCGAAGCCCTTTTATGGTCACAGGTGGTGCGGGGGAGGGGGATGGCCCCACCAGGGACATCAGTCCCCTTCCTGGGCCTCGCTTCCCACCGCTGAGGACTCAGCCAGTTTCCATGACCACCCAGAGCCACTTGTAAATGGGGAAGAAAGGATTTCGGTTTGCTCACAACCTCTTCCTACTCAAGATGAGACACGCCAGTCACCCCGCGTGTCTGTGACTTGTGTGAAATTCGAATCACATCATGTCCACAATGTTAAATGTAACATCGACTGTATAATTTTGTAAGGTAAAACTCCTCATTCTTCCATTCTGTAAGTAAAGCCCCCAGCCCAGACAAGGGACAGAGACATGCGCTGGCCAACCAGATGGCATTCAGCAACCTCAAACTTGCGGTGACAGTGAACAAGCAAAATGAACATGACTGCCTCTCATGAGTGCCCCATGTGGATGGAAGGGTGTCCTGGGCTGCTGCCCTCCATGGCCCACCCTGAGGAAGGGTCCCCAGGCAGAAACCGCCTGCCCCATTGCAGTGCCCCCGGCAGACAGCTCTGGAGTGAGGCCGCCCCAGCCTCCAGGATAGAGACCACAGTGCTGGTCTTTCCTGGCCCACCTGGGCTGGGCCATTGCAGCCTGCAGCCCACGGCCAGCCTCCCTCCCCACTGCCCCATGGTGGCACAAGTGGCCTGGATGGCAGAGCCCCACAGGAATCGCGTTGGGTCCAGGGCAGTGGGACCTCGGGCTTTAGGTAGGGCTGTCCAGTCACACTTGTGGTCACACACAGCGAGAATTTATGGCAACAGAGAGAGCAGGTCAGCATCCAGACATTGGGGACAGGACCTGCCTGCTCTCCCCACAGACAAAAAGCCCTGTTCACAAACACACCCACCCACCTACAGCCCTCACAAAGGGGGTGGGACTCAATTCCAGCCAGGAGCACGGGGGTAGAAGAGCTGGAGAGGTGGCGGGAGGTAGGCCCACACCCAGGGAAAGAGGGAGAAGGGGAGGGGCTGAGGCACGACCCTACCCAGGCAGGTGCATCCGCGGGCTGCTTTCCAGCATGAGTGCTGCTCCTGGCAGATGTGCGGGCACAGGCAAGGCAGGAGGCCTGAGTGGGCTGAGGGAGAGGGGGCTCCCACCATGCCTGGCAGCAGCGCGTGCAGGAGGGGCGGGGAGGGCCGTTGGGGCTGGGCTGCACACGCCAAGCATCTCACCTGTATCTTTCCCACGGCAAAAACTGAATTCCGAACAACCAACTTAAATGAACTTCTGGGGGATGGTGGGATAAACATAAGCAAGCTCTTGCCATGTCCTTCATCTGGGCAGCGCTGGCCTCTGAAGACTCACAGGTGGTCTGCAGCATGCTGGCTGGAGGGCAGGCTGCCTGGCCAAGAAACCCTGCTCCGCCCGCCTGCTCGCTGCCAGTACACTTCCACCTAAATATTTAAGCTCTCCGTGCTGGGTTAAACGTGGGACCTGCCCAGCGGTTCCTGTGAGGACTGGAAGAGGTGGCATGGGGAGAACGCTCAGAAGAGCTGGCCTGGGCTCGCCTCCGTGCGGCCTGGTCGTCATCAAACCGTCACTTTCAAAAGATGTCGCCTAGAGAGGCCGACTTCCTACAGACACTAGATGTTATCCTAAGGTAAAATCAGGCCCCCTCAAGACTAGGGAGATACTACCCGGAGCACACCTTCCTAACACAGTGTTCCTCGCACCACAGGCAAGCAAAGTCCCTCTACCAGGACAAACATCTGGGCATGTACAGATTCAGGACTCTGCCTTGGGGTGCCAGAACTGTGTACACAGGTAAAGGTGCCCTGAGGGCGTCCCTGGGCCATGCAGATTGGGAATGCCACCGGCAGATTAACCTATAAACGTACAACCCACAGGGCTTGGGGCGCTTCTCAGCTCAGAAAACAAACACAATCCTTTGTTGAACTGATCTCCTCGTTATGGCAAGCCCCTCCCCTCTGGCTGTCACCTGCACAGGGCCCCTTGGCTCCCTCCCTCCTGCTGCTCAGAGCTCACTCAGGGTGGAAACAGAGCGGACAGATGCAGCCTAATGCAGTCCCACAGTATCTACTTGTCAGCCAGAACCCAGAAGGAAAGTGAGCTCTTTCCACCATCATTTCAAAAAGAATGAAAACAACAACCATGGCTGCTGGGGATTAAAATTCACAGGAAGGCAGAACTCCCAGAAGCACGACTGTGGTGGAGTTTTAATGAAACCAGCAGTCACAAACGGTGACTGATTCCCTAACTGCCCCCGGCAACGTTGTGTGATCTCACGCTTCGCTTGTGCAGGGAGGCATTCCACCTTATTAGATTTATAACAGATTATCTGCAGAGCAAAGCCTGCAAAGTGAAAGCCGTCAGGACAAACTGGATTTCAACACTCCTTGTTTACAGCACAACCTCAGACGTCAGGCCTGTTTCTTCATCTTCTGACACAGGGACCCTGTGCTCTTGGCGCTCTTGGAAAATGCTGACGAACCACAAGGGAAGGTGGCCATTTCACGCTTCTTCACTCCCGCCCCACAGCCTGGCATCGTGAATAGGTACTTATTCTTCGTGGGGCACCCTCAGTTGGTTTCCGGAGGGCAGGTGCATCACTGGAGTACCGAATTCAGGCTTCGAAAAACAGGACTTCGAGATGCGCTTATTTTTAAGTGAGCTAAAATTGTCTGCAACTAATCCCTCACTAACATTTCACGTTAGACTACTCCGTGGGGGAAGGGCTGTTGGGAAGCAATTTTTTGCAGACTGAAACTATGATGATCAATTTAAAATAAGATGACTACGACCTCGTTCTTCTAACAAAAGCAAAAACAAAACCAATCGTAGCTGATCCTATTACTCTAACCAGACTTTAACTCTACTTGAAGCATACACTGAACTCTGAACCAAATATAGGAGCCCTAGAATTTAGCTGCTTTGACTCTGACTTCAGAATTTAATATACAAATATTCAAGGGGTAACCCAAAAAGATTTTCACTTTAAAAAGTAAACTTCTGAGTTTCTTGTGTCTCTTTTTCAACTTGCCAGGGGAACAGCCCCAGAGTACGGAGACGCTGCACCCACATACAGCGGCAGGCGCCAGGAGGAAAGGGCAGAAGAGTGGACACCACGGATGGTAAGCTGCCACCCATGGATGGGAACACCAGGCGCAGACCAGCCGCAGCACCCATGGCTCTCCAGGTGTGTGCCCATGTGCCCCATGGGTTGACAGACCCCACTGCCACATGTGTGTGCCTCTGCTTAGCTTGGGAGGCAGCTCATGCTAAGCAAAGGTGCGCACAAAGTCTTCCCATCTATTCTTAACCCTCACCCAGAGGCACCACAGAGGGACTCTGCTCTAAACCAAGGGTGAGCTCCCACCCCCGCCTCCCCACCGCACCCCTGTCCTGGCATAGAGCCCTGGATCAGGTATTCAGCACAGCCCAGGTGAGCTCTGATGCTCACTGACGGCTGCCTCAGGTGACCGGAAAGCTGGGCCTGGGCAACATCTCTTCAGCTTCCTCTGCCAGATATTAAAGAGAATAAGGATCATGGCCCACGCTCCCAGTGCCAGAAAACTAGGTTCCTTTCCATGTTAGTCCCTCCCTGAAAGGAAGAGTCACATTATCAACTAAACAGCTCTGAAAACTCTCTCCTACCCACTGTGCTCTCCACAGCACAAGTCACACGGACACACACACACACCACACACACGCACACGCACACATGAAAAAGAGGCCAGCCTTGCTAGTAAAAAAAAAGACATGCACACTAAAACAGTGTGTAAATGATTTTTATTTTTCGTGCATTCAACTGGGAATACTCTGAAGTTAGGGAAGAAAAGGCACGCCTTCCACCACTGCAGGGAGAAAGCGTGAGCCTTGCAGGAGGGCAATGTGCAACCTACATACAAAACGTGCCCTGTACATGCCCTGGAGGCTGTGCCCTATGGTGGGGGGGCCCTCAGTGTCTGCCCTGGAGGCTGTGCCCTATGGTGGGGGGGGAAGCCCTCAGTGTCTGCCCTGGAGGCTGTACCCTATGGTGAGGGGGAGCCCTCAGTGTCTGGAGGCTGTGCCCTATGGTGGGGGGCCCTCAGTGTCTCCCCTGGGGCTGTGCCCTATGGTGGGGAGGGGGCCCTCAGTAATCTGGAGGCTGTGCCCTATGGTGGGGAGCCCTCAGTGTCTGCCCTGGGGCCCTCAGTGTCTGCCCTGGAGGCTGTGCCCTATGGTGGGGGGGGGGCCCTCAGTGTCTATCCTGGAAGCTGTGCCCTATAAGAAGGGAGCCCCAGTGCCTTCTGGGGAGAGGTGCACCCCATGGGGGGTGCCCTGTATCTACTAGGGAGAGATGTGCCCTATAGAGGTGCCCCAGTGTCTTCTGGGGAGAGGAATGCCCTACAGGAGATGCCCTGTATCTCCTGGGGAGAGGTCTGCCCAATGAGGGGTGCCCCGTGTCTCTGGGGGAGAAGTGCGGCCTGCAGGGGGTGCCCCATGCCCCCTGGGGAGAGGTGTACCCTAACTCCTGGGGAGAGGTGTGCCCTCTGGGGGTGCCACGTGCCTCCTGGGGAGAGATGCGCCCTGCAGGGGGTGCCCCATGTTTCCTGGGGGGAGGTGCGCCCTGCGAGGGGTGCTGGGGCCCAGGCTTGTGCTTGGGGTCTCCCACATGCCCCTGCTCTGTTACTCACTGGCCTGGGGCATGCTCTAGCCATAGCATTGTGGCCTGTCCTTGGACCCTCTCTGGGTACCTATGTTTGTATTCTCCCTCTCCATACACTTCTGGGAGGCATTGACCAGAAATGCAAGAGACAGGCCAGGCGTGGTGGCTCACGCCTGTAAACCCAGCACTTTGGGAGGCCGAGGCAGGCAAATCACTTGAGGTCAGGAGTTTGAGCCCAGCCTGGCCAACATGGGAAAACCCTGTCTCTACCAAAAATACAAAAATTAGCAGCCAGGTGTGGTGGTGCATGCTGGTAATCCCAGCCACTCAGGAGGCTGAGGCATGAGAATCGCTTGAACCTGGGAGGAGAAGATTGCAGTGAGCTGAGATGGCACCACTGCACTCCAGCCTGGGTGACAGCTGAGCAAGACTGCTTCAAAAAACAAACAAACAAAAACACAGAAGTACAAGAGAGAAACTTCCATGCTCATCTGGGATCTGCTTCTAGGTGTAAAAGCACTGTCCAAGAAGGAGAGGCGAGGCTGGGTCTAAACCACCACAAAGAGCCAGGAAACAGGAAAGTCCACGGGGACCACGAGCACTAAAACTCTGCTAAAAGATCCTATTTACCCAACATTAATAATTTAAGTTATATTTTTAAAATGATTCCCTTTTCAATTATAAAACTCTATTCAAATTCACTGATGATTTAATGACACTAATTAGATTTTGTGTTCAAGAAATCTGTCTGACAAACACCATTGCCAAATGTCACTAACAATATGATGGCTTATAAAGAGTTTAAATCATCCAAACAAAAGCCTCCTAAAGTAATGAAAACACTATGTAGTTCAAATGGCTTTTATAACCTCTGTTTCAATGAAGAAATAAATGATAAAAATGCAAAGAGAAAGGCAACCTTGAACTTCTTTCTGTGCTTTTGAGACCCTGGCCCAGAGACTGGCTCCAGAGTCATGGTTCTGGGGTCTCCAGCCATCTTTCAGAGGGTCTGCCACTGGGGGTGGTGGGGTGGGCTCTCCCAGGGACCCCTCCAGGAATGAGGAGCATGGCCTGAAGGCCTGGCCTGTAGGAGCGACGTGAGGACTGGGCTCAGGGTGCTTTCTTCCAAGCAGTGAAGCCAGCTCCTGGGGCACCAGGAGAGGAGGGGCAGAAGGGTTCTGGAGGTGGGACCTGGCCTCGCCCTGAGGTGGCAGCACTGACCCCAACTCAAGTGTCTTCTTTATTTCTTTTGGCCTCCTAGGACTACCGTGAGGAGCCCCGGTCAAACACACAGGGCTTAGGCTTACTTCTCAGCTTCTCATCTACGTCTTCTTCTTGTAAAAGCTACACATGCAACCAGCATGGAATGAGACATCAACAATCCCATCTCCTTAACCTCGCTCTGCACCGACACCCGGGGCAGCTTTGGCGTGGTCTCCTAATCACGCGCTGTGAATGCTGCAGCTGGATCAACGGCGAGGACTGCAGGGCTCACCAGGGCACAGTGACAACAGGAAAAATGGAATTCAGCAGGAGCCCCTGAGGCCATCCTCAGCCAGGAACTGTGTTGGGCTGCAGGAATGCAGGGAAGCTGGAGTGAGCGAGCGGTCCTCATGTCCCCCAGGCAGGCGGGACCGGCGGCCGATGGGGGCTTCTGAGAGGTACAGGGCAGGGCCTGGGTCGGTCAAGACTGTTGTTGGGGAGTCCTCAGGCTTGACATGGGGTCGCCAACATGCAGAATACAAAGGAGCTACGATACTCGTCTTAAAAAATTATTTCTAGGAGTCATGGAATGTGAGCCTATGGTGCAAAAACAAAATAATACGAGTGGCCTCTTGAGGGCTGCTCTTGGCCGGTCACAGAAAGGCCGGTGAGCTGAAGCCCTGGGCGGGCTGCAGAGATTGCCCGCAGTGACTCCCCCTGACCCGCGCCATCTGCCTGGCACGCACCTGTTTCCTGCAGCCAGCTTGAAAACTCTTCTCCCAGGCTTGAAAAACAGCAGCCAGTTGCAGTTGCCCATGGTCAGGGCTGTGAGGGAGGCAAGCCTGGCCTGTCCACAGCACAGAGCGGCGCCATCAGTAAAGTGAAGACTGAGTCCTCTCTCGTGTCCCGCCTGCCAGGAATGTCGGGATCACAGGGATCCCGAAGGGTGTGGTGCTTGTGGAGCTCTCAACTGCTCCACCCTAAACTCGAGTGGGCTTGTTAAAGTGGACAGGGTCCCAGTGGAGGCTGGTGGGCCAATCTCCACAGGGACAAGTGACGTGTTTGTTACACACGGCTGCTAGGTTGCTCTGAATTCTGAAGACAAAAACGATAAAGCATGGACTGAAAGAGCTCAGGAAAGTGTCCTCTCCTTGGTTTGTCGAACACTGACATTAGCAGGCCAGTGTGTCGGGAAAAAGCAGCAGCAACAACTCCCAAGCCAACAAATGTCAAGGCAATGGTGCAAAGTCCAAAGACCCAGAGCCCCCAAGCAGCCCCTCAGGGTTCAGCCAGAAACCTCCCAGCCGCTGTTCCCTCAAGGCCAGAGGGGGCCGCGGACAGAGCTCTCAGGGCTCACCCTTGAAGCACAGGCACTCACAGAATGGTTTGGCACCCATGAGAGGGGACACGGAGCTGTCCCTGAGCCTGTCCTCCAGGGCCAGCCCAGCTTTGGGATGCAGCCTCCCCTGCAATCTGCCACTAAGTCTACAGACAACTGATACTACTTTACTTCCATTTCTCCACAGTGATTATGAAATAAAGACACTGAACAAAGTGTCTTACATATAAAGGAAGGGAAACTGGGATCCTGTGGTCAAGAGAATTACCAGCTAGGGCAGAAACAGAAGGACGCACCCCTAAGCTTCTCTGCATACGAGGTGGACACAGTAATATCTGCATGTGGGCTAACGCCAGGTAGCCAAGACCTCAGCTGAACAACTTCTACCCACGGACCACGTGAGCATCTCAGAAGCACCAGGTAGCATATGGTCATAGGCTTTTGATGCTCTACATCTGTGCTGTCCAACAGGTGCCATGAACCACGTGTGGCTCAAAACGCAGCTGGCTCGAATGGAGACATGCTCTGTGTCTAGACCCCAGTGACTTGCCAAGACTTAGCAAGAACAACAACGGCAGCCGTGTTGGTGGCAGCCTGCCACCTCCCAGATCAGGCCATGAGAGACCCTGTGGCTTCCATGTTGGCCAGGTTTCCTCTCGGGTTGCTCCCTCTGGGAAGCCAGCTGCTATGCTGTGAGCAGCCCTGTGGACAAGGACCTCAGGCCTCTTGCCTGCGGCCATGTGAGCGAGCCTGAATGGAGCTCCTCCCGCCTCAGTCCAGTCAGCCCTGCAGATGAGACCATAGCCCTGTCTGACATCTTAACAGCAACATAATGGGAAACCCCATCAGCTAAGCTGCTCTAGGATTCCTGACCCACAGAGCAAGATAACGCAAGCTTGCTATTTTAAACTGCTAAGTGTTGGAGTAATTTTATTACACAGATATACATGACTTAATCTGGTTTTGTGAGATTTTTCACTTTGTTTAATGTGACCCCTAGAATATTTAAAATTACTGGTGGAATTTTAATATACTCATGTATATTTCTATTAGACAGTGTTGCTCTAAATGGTTTTAAATGCAGTGACAGCATATTATAATCACAGATATCATAACTAGCCTGCCAACTACATAACATAACTTTGCTACATATCACTAGTACATATTTCCAATTGATTTAATTTTAAAATATGGTATCAGATTAAATATTTGTAGAGAGTAAGTACCAAAAAAGTCTTCGTTTTTTCCTTACCGTATTTAAATTAAAATAAAATATTATCTTTTTCTAGTTATAAAAGGTTAGTAGAGAAAACAAAAAATATAGAAAAGTCCTAAGAAAAAGAAAACACACAGATTTGTCAATACAGCTCCCAGCAACGATCATTAAGGTTCTGGTGCTTCTTCCCTTTGCTAGGTTTTCTATATCTGGGCACGTTTCAGATGAAATTAGGTGATAAGCATTTTTCCTATTTGGAATATGCTTCCACACAATGACTTGAGACTGCTGTTCCCACTCAGCACCACATCCCATGTAATACACGGAAGTGCTGCCCGCGGTTTGTCGCCTCCTGCAGGAACCTCGCATCATGCCTGGGGCCCCGGCACACTCTGCAGAGGCAGAGGCCTGGAGTCACGGGAGTTCAGGGTGCCGGAGGCCGGGCCCACCCGCACCCACGCGTGCCGCGCCTCACCTTGATGTGTTCGTGGAGCTGCGCCTCGTGCTGCCGGGAGAGCTGCTCGTGCTGCCTCTGGAACTCGGCGATGAGGATCTGCCTCTGGATCTGCTGCTTCTGCTTGAGCGCCAGGAGCTCCTGCTGTAGCTGCTGCTCCCGCAGGGCGGGCTCTGCCACAGGCAGCGAGAACTGGTGGTCCAGGCGCAGGTCCATGGGCACTGCCGAGGGGGCCACTTGTAGAGGCAGCGCCGTGGCCACATCCACTGTGAGAAGAACAAGCAGGAGAGCCGGTCACTGCCACCCTCAGCTGTCCCCGGACCCCAGAGCCCCTGACCAACACACTAGCCACCTTCATGGGGGGGCCTGTGGACATGTGAGGATTAGATACCCCTCTACCCCTTTCCCCCTCTGGCCCAACAAACTCAAAATGCAAGACTCAGAGGCCTCTGGGGCCCACTCCTCAAGGACAAAAACCACAAAAGCCTCTGGAAGGTCAGACCAGGACACACTCCACAATCCCTGTTCCTTCTTCCACCCTCCCCGGGAGGCTGGCTCTCAGAGGACCCCGCTTCAGGCCCAGAGCCTTGCTGACGTCATTCCTAGAAGTCAGTAACGAGAAAAATAAAGAAAAAGGTTCTGGCTGGCCAAGGAAAAGAGCGGGCACCAGCCCTCAGCTAGGAAGACTGCCTGTTCTGCTCCTCTTCCTCCTCTCCTATCGAAGCCACTGCGCTGCTCTGTGAGAGCCACAAGAACAGTGTGTGCCCCAGAAGTGGTCCAGACAGACGCTCGAGACCCGGAGCCCGTTTCCATGGCGAGACAAGTGCCCCCTTGGAAAACATGTTTACCAGACACAGCCAACAAGACGTGCTCCTGGCTCTTGGCACAAATGCGTTCCTCTGGGCATGCGTTTCTGCACCTCGCAAAGAAATGGATTTTCTGCCCTGTACTAATGTGCTATTGAGAAAAGGCTACAAGTAATTTTGATGAGGAACAGAAGCTGAATCAATTTCATCACTTACAAATCAATACCAAATGAAAGTAAGAAAAGTAACACAGGAAGAAGGGTAGGTGTAAATTACAATGATCACAAACAGCCCTACGTGCGTACCCCTTTTACGGCAGGTCCCTATTCTGAAAGCATGCAATGTGTGCGGGCACTCACTCGGAGCCAGCACTGCTCCTGGCACAGCCCAGGGACATCCTACTGTCGCTTCGCAGACACGCGGCTCTGCCGAAAACTTCACTGAGAGTTAAGTGAGAGCCCAGCCTGCCTGCTCCCCTCCCATAGGCCCACCCCTCAGGGTTCCCCATAACCAACATTCATGTGACCTGGGCCAAGTGGAAAGCTGGGCCTTGCCCTCTAGGAGGGTCTCAAGCTCAGAGGGGTGTCTGAGCCAACAAGAGGTCTGCTGAGAAAATAGCTCCTCGCCCCTCAGGGTCAGCACCTTTGGGCATGACCTTGTCCGGGTGCCTCCCTGACAGCAGCCCATCCACACTCACCCTGACACTCAGCCTGTCTCTGGACCGGCCTAAGACCAGGCCTTGTCTGTAACTCAGTTCCTAGGAAAACCTGCACTCTACAGTCTCAAAGCCACCGATTTGGGTGAAACAGCCCATAGGTGGCAGCTGCCCCTCAGTGCAAAGCATTTCCACAGTCACTGCCCAGGCAGCAGGTCCCACACTGTCTTTGTCTCCAAACCACTGGAGGTCCTGGTCCCAGGACTCAGCCTTCTCCTGAGAAAAGGGTGGGAAATGCTTTGGGGGAGGCCTGGGCACTGGCCGGAGCTTGGGGTTCTGATCCCCCGGGCTGCCGCTTAGCCACGGAAGCTGCAGTCACCTGAGCTCCTGGTGCAACCCCCAACTTTTAAAATGCATGTATTTAGTTTTTAATTGGGTGTCAACTTTGACACAGTAAAAGGTTTTCATTTGCTATTATGTGAGAAGAATCTACACACATAAACTGTGTGTTCTATGTGCAGCAGGGAGCAGGGGTCCACCCCCCCACCCCACACGTGGACGAGGACTGTTCTATGTGCAGCAGGGAGCGGGGGTCCACCCCCCCACCCCACATGTGGACGAGGACTGTTCTATGTGCAGCAGGGAGCAGGGGTCCATCCCCCACCACCCCACACGTGGGTGAGGACTATTCTATGTGCAGGAGCAGGGAGCAGGGGTCTACCCCCCAACCCTACACGTGGGTGAGGACTGGACCCTATTCATTTCCTTTCTTCCCTTTTCTGATCATTTTTATGACAAAATACAGCAAAATGGAAAAACTGTGCAAGCAATGCCAGTTTTATGAAACACCAGTGTTCACCTACATTTGCTTCAGACTTTCTTTTAAGGAATAAAATATATGAAAGGCAGGGAGGAGAGCCAAGTCAGCAAACTCGCAAACTCAGAGAAAAGAGAACGGGGCCCAGCTTCTTGAAAAAGACTCAGCTGGCGGGCTCCCTGCTGCGGGCACTGGGGGCTATGGGTCCGACTCTCACAAGCACGGCGGTGCTAAACACTTTCCTGAAAACACAGTCTCGTGAATGACTGTTAGGTTCCGGTTCCCTCTTCCGCGTTCATGGCTGTGATTGGCATGTGGTTCTCCTGGGACCAGTGCCCTGCAGAGTGACTTCCTAGAGCGCCTCAGGTGAGCTGGCCTGTGCTTTCCAGGGATAAACACAACTTTGTTCTTTTAAGTTACATAGTCAACATCCACGGTGAATTCATCAGTGAATGCATATACTTGTATAATTTAGAAGAACAACGTTCCATTTATCTCTAGGAAGGGATAAAATTAGAAAAACAAAATAACATGAACAACGACCATGTTATTTAGAATGCTGGTGTCTATATTTGCAGGTGAAATTGGTCTCTCGCATATTCTTTTTGGTTAAACAGAGACGTTTTAGCTTGAACAAATAAGCACAGGGAATAAGTAACTGCGTGGCGTTGCATCTTAGAAGCTGGGTTATTGCCACACCTCGCCTCAGCTGGCCCTGTGTGGGGGCCTGGGTGGGACCCCTGCTTATAAGATGTGCCGCTGTGACCCAAGGTCTCACGTAGAAACAGGGTCCCACCACAGGCGCTGGGCATAAGCCTGACCCGCTGCTGGCTTTAGTGTGTCTCCCCTCCGTTTCTAATTTCTCACAGATGGAGGGAGGGGGCAGCGTTGCAAATGTCTGGTGTTAATCTCTTTAAAAACCGAACATAAAACAACCTTTAAGGGATTGTTTTTATTAACTTCAAAAACACGACATGCCTGTGTATCTACTTCTCATTCAGTTCCTGAAAGAACATTAACGGCTCCTGCTCTGTGCCAGGTGCTGTGGGTACGGACCCGGGGCAGCTGCTGGGGCCCCGAGGAACAGAGGAGCTGATGGCAGGCCTAGGGAAGGGCCCACAGTGGGCTGCATCTCACTGAGGGCAGGGACTGCCTGAGCAAGGACCCAGAGGTCCGGGTGCAGGTAGAGGGTCATGGGGACGGGGGAGCCCAGAGACCAGCCCGCCATCTGCAATCTTGGAGTGTCACTCAGCCTTGGGACTGGGAGAGCAGCCGAGGGTGCAAGGGGAAGCAGCAGCAACTCTGGTGCTGGGGAAGACCCAGTTTCTCAGGACGAAGTGGGGAAGGCAGGGCAGGCTCTGCACACCCACGGTTTGCTGGCCGAGTGGAATTTTCTTTCTTTAAACTTTTCTCAGATTCCTCTGAATCTGGAATCACAGGACATCTTAAAAGGAAACCTAAGTTCATGTTTGCTCCCAAGCATCTAACAGAGATGACACTAATGTGATCTTGATGCAAATGCCACCGAAGCTATTTCATTAGGGTCAGAGGCAAAATTCAATGTACTGAAATTCCCATTACAGCGCAGGCACCTAGCCAGATCCGAGCCCGGCAGGTCAATGCTGGTGTGGGCCAAGGGCCCCCACCACCTGGGAGTTTTCAGAAATGGAAAATGATCACAAGGTTCTTCACAGGGATGCTGGCCAGCATTCACCATTGAGCGTGGAGGAGATGCGCTCACTTGGATGCCAAGGATGACAGGCAGTGCCCTCTGAAGGTGAGAACCGCTCCCTGGATGTCGCCTCATCTGGACAACCTACACGGTACTGGTGGGATGGAGGGGGCTGCTCGTTTTTTTTTTTTTTTTGTACAACTCATCTTTGCATCCAGTCTACTCAAGACCTATAAATGCTTTAATTCCTAAGGCATTCATTCTTTAATCTGTTCTTTAAGCTGTTTTCTTGGAGATTTGTACAAGTTCTGCAAACTGATTCAAATTTCATCTTAAAAGGAATCTGTCAACTGGACTGAGAGACAATGAACCAGCCAGACGTGGAACATGCTGAACACCACGCCGCTGCCGGGGAACTCTCTTCTGAGGCTTGGGTGACGCTCCTGCCCTCCTCACAGGCACACAGCTGAACCTCCTGTGCGTGCATCACCTGACAGGTCACAGCTCAGCCCAGGTCTGCTCTTAAATTCCACCACCTGTGAAACAGCCAGTGCGCAGCCTAGCCCAGTACTCCCCACTCCCAAAAGACAGGACCCTATGGGGGATGAAACTGCTGCCCAAATCTTCTGAATGTCACTTACAAACTCCTTTTTTTGCTAAAACCTTCCATTCTGTGAGAGCACAGAGAGGATGATGCAGCCTTCAGCTGGGAAGCTGCTTCTTACTTCTCCAGGCCCCTGCTGGGTCACCCTAGAGCTGCCAAGGCCAGCAACTGAGGAGGAGGAGGGCAGGCAGGCAGGGCTCCTTCCAGCCACTCCGGCTTCTCCAGCAGTTGAACGCAGGCTGGAAGCTGCTGGTGCTTATCCGCCCCTGGCAGTGCTGGTGAGAGGCGAGTCACTCCTCGCAGATCTGTGTCTCCAGCTCGATGTGTGTCTCCATATGGACACCGAAGAGTGCGGGTCCGCTGAGAAGCAGGGAGGCGAGGGGCCCTGCAGAACAGCCGCCTTCTGCTGAGAAGGAGCCTGGACTCGCTGGCACGGTACAGCCAGAGGGGGCTTCGGTGGGTGCCGAGGCTGGGGGGTCGGGCGCACCACTGAGCAGAATGCCGTCGCTGTTCTCACCACCGCACTTCCTGCATTTGCACTCAGTGTGGGGAAGGGACGTTCACACTGCCTTGGTTTACCAGACTGCCACATGAAACTGCACTCTCTGCTAAAGTAAGCTAAGAGCAGAGCAGAGAAAATCAACAGCAGCACGTTGCCTGCATCCCATACGGCACCTCCAGCCACGGCCATCGCTCACCTCTGAAGACAATC